ATACTGATATTTAAACAAAGATATTCACCATCAAAAATGATATTCTGTTATGCTGACATAAAAGATTCTGTTATGCGATGATAATATGGTTCCGTTGTTAATATTGCGGTCTTTCCTGATTCGTGGTACGACGTCATAGAACCGCATCATGAAATTACGACCTGCGTCTTCTATTCCGCGTCCTTTATTGTCAAAATTTAGAAGCTCCCGGTCTACGCATCCTGGTTTAGAATTTAAACGGCTTATCATTTAAATTTAGAACGGCTTATCATCAAACATGACAGAAATTCATTGTCTGTTATATTTAACAATATATATATATATATATATATATATATATATATATATATATATATATATATATGTATGTATGAATGCGTGTATATATGTTTGTATCATTAATGCACACACAATGATCAAATAAAAGAAGACGATTTACTTAAACCCCAGATACACAAACTCGAAAAGTTGCAGTATAATTTTTTGAATCATCGTAGGCTACCAACCAGTATGCCTAGACCGGAGGCTATAAACCAGGATGCCTAGACTTCAGGGTACCAAGTAGGATGTCTAGACCAGAGGCTACAAACTAGGATGCCTAGACTGGAGGTTATAAAGCAGGATGCCTAGACCGGAGGCTACCAACCAGGATGCGTAGACCGGGGGCTACCAACCAGGATGCGTAGACCGGGGGCTACCAACCAGGATGTCTAGACCGGAGGCTACAAACTAGAATACCTAGACTGGAGGCTTCAAACCAGGATGACGAGACTGGAGGCTAAGAACCAGGATGCCTAGACAGGAGGCTCCAAACTAGTATGCCCAAACTGGAGGCTACCAACAAGGATACTTAGACTGGAGGCTACAAACCAGGATGTCCAGACTGGAGGCTAAGAACCAGGATGCCTAGACCGGAGGCTACAAACTAGCATGCCTAAACTGGAGGCTATAAACTAGGACGCATAGACTGGAGGCTACAAACCAGGATGCCTACAACGGAGGCTACCAATCAGGATGCCTAGACTGGAGGCTACCAACCAGGACGCCTAGACTGGAGGCTACAAACCAGGATGCCTACAACGGAGTCCACCAACCAGGACGCCTAGACACGAACAGAACTGATGGTAAATATTGTCCAAATATGTAAAAAAATTCAGGCCACATAAACACAAATAGAAATTCCACGTAACAGGGAATATATTTTATTTACAAAAGCTAAGTCTAGTAGAAAATATAAATCCTGACTATATAGTGGATGAACACTACTGATATGATACAGATAGCGTGATTTGTTTTTAATCAATTCACTCCAAGAAAAGTGATAATGCCAATAAGACCGGGGAGGAGTAAAAAAACGGGCGATAGTCGTACCTATCTACTCATAATAAGGCTTTCAAAAATAAAATACAATTTTTGTTAATTATATTATATTGTAAATTAGGAAGTGACATTAGATGCAGAAAAGACTGATCTCAAATAAATTTTAAAAGAATAAACACGAGGTCTTTTTATCACCACAAAATAAAATAAAAAATGTTTAAATATCATCTCAAAATATAATTTATTATAAGACATCGAAAACATCTAATATTTTATTTAAAGGACATCTGAAGTATTTGCCTTTAAAATGAAAGTAAAATTATGTTTTCATAATTTACACGCCAGTGGTAAAATAGAATTTCAAAGCACGCCTATTTTCCTTCGGCAAAATCCGGGCTCAATTTAAAAAAACTATCAGACGTACACCCTAGTGCAAATTAATTGAAACAAAACAAATAATTCTGTTATTACTTATTATTTTCGTATTTTCCAATGAAAGATTACCCAGTGCACATGTGCGTACTTCGCATGTCCATTCCACAAAGTCGTTCCTTGCAGATTGATCATAGACACTCGATTGGATTTAAGTCAGGAGAGTTTCCAAGCCAGTCGATAGTACTTTGATTTGCTCTCTGGTGAGGCTTGCCAGTGTATTCTTGTAGTCTTAAAATGTTCGTACGTTTTCTTTGGAGTAACGTCCATCGCAGACAATGGCGGCAGGACAACTAATCGACAGTCTAGACAATAGTGTCTGGGCGTGATGAAAATCTGATGCAATCACGGATGACGAAATATTTTTCAAGGCCAAACAAATTTCATCATACACCTCGAAAACAGATTGGTATTACTTCACACGACTGCAAATGACCGAGTCGGGGGATAAAATAGAAGTCGATTACACCTGTTACTCCAGTGGGTCTAAAACTGACCTTATGTGAAAGAAAGGAAACTAAAGCGGATGTTTCAATTAATTTGCACAAGGGTGTATGTATTGTGGCTGTCGACATGTCTCAACTAATGACTATGCTACACACGGTTTATCAACCCTTTCAGGTTATTTAAAGCCAGAAAATATTTTTAGATTGTATGAATTTTTGTTTCTGAGATAATAATTGTTTAGTGTTACACGTCTTACTAATAAAGCCATAGTTGGGAAGAGATTATCTAGATCTAGAAGATTCCCAAGATTATTTTCACGTAAGTGAATATAATGAACTCAACAGGAATTGAAACTCGATTGTCCGATTAACAATTCTCAATCGTTATCCATTACACCGACCACAAATCCAAACTCACAATAAACTGGTATTCCCAAGTGGTCATCCATCAAGAAACTGACTAGGCTCGAATTTGCGAAACTTCGTTGAGCGTAAGGAGTTCGTTGTTTAAACATCATGTGGCTGACGGCCTCTCTGTTTTAAACAGTTTACAGTTATACATATCATAGCTCCATACTGAAATTAAATCTTTTCACTTTCACTTTCACTTTCTCCAGAAACATCAAACTGTATACTTAATCCTATTAATTTGATATCCACAAACTTTCTCTTCGCCCGACACAGGAACACAATTCATTTAGTAACGAATAAGTTGTAGTACAATTGCTTTGTTTGATAACCTTAGAAAAATTGTGTAATATAATTTGTAATACCAAGTCCTCTCATGACGTAAGTGTTCATGGCATCCGCTTTTATTATGCGTGAATTTATTGGGAAAGTTAGTGAAGTTCTCGCTGCTATCCTCCCGGTTTGCAGTTTAGTTTTCCTTCTCTTATACTCGTCGTTACCTAAAACTAGAGAACTTAGTTTATCCTACTATTTAACCCTTAGCATGGAGAAGTTTGGGAAGTGATGGATTCGAACATTAGGTGAAAAGAAAAAGAGCAGACCTGAATAAAATTTGAACACGGTTTGCCGATTTTACATTCCGCGTCGATAAATGTTATGGCGTACGAGCTTAGACTTAGTATTACTCCACTTATTATACGGTGCACAGTAAATTTATATAAATTATTTGCTAAGCGTTGCTATCTGGCGAAGTGAAAAATCTCCCACGGATTCGATTTGGGTGGGGAATGTATTATTTGCATGTGAAGATAACCCCTTCCCCTCGACTTCAAAATAACGATACTTTATATTCGCTTTTTGTTTTGATCCTATCATTTTGCCAGATGTGTTGCGAATTATTCTTCAGTTTCCTGTGATCTTCGACCGGTAGCTTTTCTTTATTCCGCGGTTTTTACCGACTTTTGCACCCATTCTCAATTAGGAGGACTGAAGATTCGAGCCACAAAGATTCGTCAAGGAAATTTTATGAATCTTTTCTGTGAACTGTTCTAATTCAAAGAAAAATACGGCTGCAGTAAGTGATTCTGTTTCTTAGATAACCGGATAAGACACAGATCGAAGAATGTCTGGAGAATAAAGATAATACTTTATTCTAGAACCGCTGACTGTCGTTTGCAGAATAGTACATGTGTTGTTGTTGTTTTGCTATGTCAAAACAAGGAAAAGTAGACAGAGAGAGACAAAGACAGAGAGAGAATATGATAGAGGGACAAAGAAAGAGAGAGAGAAATGAAGGTAACCTGATAGTGAAATAGAAACAAAGAGAAAAAGTCGTGAGTGTAAGGGGAGAATAAGGAAAAGAGACAATATTAATGTGAGTGAGGCATCAAGAGATAGAACGAGTAAGACAAATGTAGGTGGGGGAGAGAGCTTATGAGGGAGAGTGAACGGTTGGCAGTTGTCTTCAAAATAGTATACATATATCGTATTAAGCTAGAAGCGGACAAGAGAGATAGAAATAGATAAGTAAAGAAAATGAAAGAAAGAAAGCTTGGGAAGGATACAAAGAAAGGCAGATAGAATAAAAGAGAGAGAGATTGCAAAGAAAAGAAAGAATGAGTGTACATTAAAGAGTGCTACATTAAGAAAGAGAGCGAGAAGACAGAGAAAGGGAAAGAGAGAGAAAGGAGGGGCGAACGGTTGAGAGCCATTTGCAGAATGGGACATGTTATACTAAACACAAATAAGCAAGAAAGAAAAGAGAGAGAGAGATAGGCAGAAATAGAGAAATTAATAAAGAAAGAGAGAGAGGCAGAAATAGAGAAATTAATAAAGAAAGAGAGAGGGGCAGAAATAGAGAAATTAATAAAGAAAGAGAGAGGGGCAGAAATAGAGAAATTAATAAAGAAATAGACAGAGGCATCGATAGAGAAGTTGATAGGGAAAGAGCCATTTGCAGAATGGAATATTTATTGTTATACTAAACAGAAAGAAGGAATAGAGAGAGAGAGAGAGAGAGAGAAGCAGAAACAAAGAAGTTAATAGATATATATATATATATATATATATATATAAGAGAGAGAGAGAGAGAGAGAGAGAGAGAGAGAGAGAGGGGTCTGATAGTGAGATAGAAAAAGACAGAGCTGGCAAGGCAAGTGAAATGACAAGGAAAAGAAGGAATGATAAAAGATATATAAAATACAGTGAGAGATTAAGAGATAAATAGAGAAAAAATAGAGAGAGAGAGGGAGAAAGAGAGAGTGAAGAGAAAGAGAGAGAAAGAAAGAGAAGGAGGAAGAAAGAGAAAATATAGAGAGATCAAGAAAGATCGCGCATGCGTATATGTGAGAGACAAAATTGGACGGACAGTTTGTAAAATAGAATATTATGTTACTAATCCAAAAGAAAGCGAGAAAGAGAGAAAAGGAAATAGCGGATTAAATAGGAAAAGCGAGAGGGGGATATAGAAAGAAAGAAAGAAAGAAAGAAAGAAAGAAAGAAAGAAAGAAAGAAAGAAAGAATACGATAGTGAGATAGAAAAGTAAGAGATGAAAATAAAGAAGAGAGAGACTCCGAGAATATGAGAAGCAGTGTGACACTGCGAGAGAGAGAGAAAGAGAGAGAAAAAACAAAGAGAGATTTAACGAAATAGAGAGAGTGAGTATAAGAGAGGGGATAGAAAGAGATAGAGAGATTGAGAGTAGTGAGATTAGATTTATCTGGTTGTCTCCTATAACAAGTCAGTCATTTATTTAAGTTAATTTAAACATCTTCCATTCTGCTCGCGTTTGGTTGCCATTAGTGTCACTTCATAAAAAGAGATATCTCCTTCTCAAAGTTCCTGTTTAGTGGCATCAGTTCTTGCAAATGTCTGCTATGTTACTAAGAGTAGGTTGTCCAGTCATAAATTATAGACTACAATTGATAGATTTTGACGTTGGCGATCGTAGCTCTCCACAGCTTTCAGTATTTTGCTTCTTTCAAAATTTCTTTTACTTCTTCAGTTCTTAGTTTGTTATGTCATCTCTTGTAGGATTTCATTAATTATTTTCCTTTCTTCGCATTTGATATATCCAGTGGGTATTAAATTCTCTAAGCTTTCTTTTCTCATTATAAATTTCTAAAATTTCAGTGATAGTTTTCTAGCTGGATTTGTTTCTTAAATAATTCTTTACAGCTGCCTCGTTCTTCACACTGTGTTTGGTATTTCAATATTTTCCGCAAGAACTACGTCTCTATACTTTCACGCTTTTCTTTAGTCTGTGAGTTAGTTGTGTTCGTCTTGTCTGGTTTTCGCACGTCTGCACGTTGAGAGCACCTCCTCTTGACTGAGATAAGAAACTGGTGTTATATAGCTCTCCCAGCCTCAGGCTATTGGCTAATACCTGCCCAATATAATTCATATGCAAATAGTCAGCGCCACCTATTCTCAGTAGAAGGTCTCTCAACAGCCCATTGTGAAAGGGGACGCAACTCCTGGTGCTTAGAGCACCAGATACAACCAAACTCGGAGATTTTTATCGGGCTAACCTGATTCTCTGTTACAGTAATTGTCTAGGGTTCACTGGAAATGATAAATTACACAGTAGTCTTAAAAGACTTAATTTTCTCTGTCTGAACTTCTGCAATGAGAATTTACCATTGAATGACTTAGATTCAGTTGTTAGTATCACAACTTTTCGACTGTTGTTTCCACCACCCTTCATCAGGTGATTGACAATCCGTGTCATCTTCAGTGAAATTAGAACTGAATTCATTATTTAATTTACAGGATGAGGTTATTCTCGTCTCGTTTCTTATGTCTAGACCCCGAAACACGCTAAAATCTTGGTAGTGAAATATACAATTTCTCGGTTTTCTGTGAATTGATTTTGATACAACCTTCTCCAGCTGGTTTGCACAGTATAGCAAAACCACTTTCATGTTTTTCATTATTCTGTGTAATGTATTTCTTATTTCAGATTTGACAGTTTTTGGGTAAACCACGCTAATATCTTTTGAATGAAAATAGTCCATCTAGACATTTTTTGGAGAAAATGGATGACAAAGATACATATTTTTGTGACGTACTTTGGCCGTTAATAATTAAGTATAACTCAAGACTTCAATGTGAAGATACAACAGTATTTAATTACGACCGCAAATAAAGAACAAAGAAGTAAATGTCAGCCAAAGATAATTAACCATTTCAGTGAATACCTTGTTAGTAGCGCGGCTCGGCTTAACGTCCGCTAAATCCTAACTCGAAACCCAAATCTTCAACGCACAATAATTCACACTAATTCGACTGGATAGTTCCACTCAACAGTCATTCAATAATCACTCAATAATCACCATAGTCAGTAGCCTGACACTGCTACTCGTTACTAAGCGAATTTATTAGTTTCTGTATTTTGCGCCCATACATCAAAAATATTATGATACATTCTTTTTTGACATACGGTGGCTTTAATGATTAAGCATAACTCAAAACTTCAATGTTAAAATAAAATAGTATTTAATTACAACCGCAAATAAATAATTAACTCGAACAAAAAAATAAAAGTCAATCAAAGATAATCATTTCAGTGAATACCTTGTTTGTATCCCGGCTCGGCTTAACGTCCAGTAAATCCTAAATCAAAACCAAAATCATCGACAAACAATAATTCACACTAATTCTACTGGATAGTTCCACTTAATAATCACTCAATAATCACTACAGTCAGTAGCCTGACACCGCTATTTATACACCTGGTGGAAAACATATTCATAAGTCCAGAGTGTCACGCTCGAACCTCGGTGCCGATATTTACTCATCTTCCTATATGACACATATTAATCACACCTTGAGTATATATTTAAGAGAAAACCATAATAATAATATAAGATGTATTGACATAAATAATTATTTGGCCACATAAGCGCCATTTCGGTTAACTTCAAAAGCCTATTTGTCACGGAATCAGTCAATTTTTTATCGTTCATCTTTGATGGTCGCCCATAAGATATCTTTCGACGCAAATTAACATCAATTGACATAAACATCTTGTTTAATGATAGTCCAAAGATTTTTGTTAGGGTTGAGGCTGGCGGCCACAACATCAACTTTTCATTTTGTATGCCATAACAGCCTAGGAAAGCTTGGTTAGCCCTGGCATTGTGGGAGGATTCGTTGTCATGCGTGAATACTAGAATCCTTAAAAGTGACAGGGGTATGTCATCTAGCCATGGATCTCAAACCTACTTCAAAAGATTGTATTAGGCGGCTGCGGTCACTGTAACCCCTTCAGTCACCACGACAGGGAAAACAATTCTTTCCCTAATGATAGCAGACCATAGCATGAATCCTTCGCCTTTTTGTTTACGTCGCAAACGTTGGTGACGCTCATCTCCGAAACAGACATAGCCATTACCCCAAACGCCAGGTCGATCAAGCGTCGCCCTAGTCTCAACAGTGATCATAACACAACTCATTTCCAACGTTATGTGCTTCCATTTATCATTGAATCCTTCAAATCCTGTGACGGGGTATATAAGGAGTCAGTTTCATGGGGAGCTCGCACGGAAGCCACGGTCCCAAGGATGCGATTACTCGAGGTCTTCGGTACATGACGAAATCCACCGGCGGTGAAAATGGTTTTACTTGTTTATCTGGATTCCCCACGTAACTTGTGGCTAATATTCCTTAAATCCATAGCTGTCACAGTATTGGTGCCCCCACATTCGGATCGTTTCTTCCTTGGCGAAAGTTCCCCCAGGAAACGTCTGTGTCATATTACGACCTAATTTCCCCGCACTGACATGAAGCGTGGCGCCTTTAGCAATTTCCTTGATGATGACGACTTTTCGTGATTTTTGAAACTGTTTCCATGTTCTTAGAGAGGAAAGACGCTATTAGCGTGATTCAGGATGTATGTTCTCGTCTTGGTCATATTTCATACTGCTCAGTTATTCCGTTGGGTTGACGTCTAAAATAACCAGCACAGGGACCGAACACACAACTACTCAAAAAAAAAAAAAAAAATTACGAATCAGCACTTTAATCCACTAGGCTATTCTTTATTGTTTTAGCAAGTTGCCTAGTTTCTGAAATACATTCTTTGCTATTCCTCTGTTATTTAGATATTTCTCACAGTTATGCAACTGTACAATTCTCCATGATTTTGTCTCATTCATTCACATCTGATCAATTTGTACCCAAATGTAAACAAATGACGTCATACATTATGAAATGGACAAAGTCCAACAATTATTTAAGACATTTTTTATATTTATATGTTCTTTTTATAGGCCGGTAAATGTTGTCATTTGTTTACATTTCGATACGCATTGAGCAGATATGAATGAATGCGACAAAATCATGAAGAATTGTGTTTAAAAACAGTAAAATTGACCTAGCTAACCGAAGGCTCCTCTATGGCTCAATCGGTTAAGGCACGCCAGGCTATACGACGTTTCCGTATAGGATACAGGTTCGATTCCTGTCGAATGACGCATATTTTCTATGAAAATTTCTCGGACATTCAGGCAGGTAAATGTTGTTAATACTGTTTATTATAAACAGAGCATTTACTTCAATATTTGTACCTATAAAAAGAACTCATACACATAAATTTATATATATATATAAATAAAATCTTCAGACACACTGGGTTGTATATTCCTTCGTTTTTATTATTATTTCAGTTAGATTCCTCTACTAGTTTCGGCCAACATGGACATTATTAGGAGAAAAAATCTGTTTGCAGAAATTAATGTATTGATGGCGAAAATGAACTTTTCTGTAGTTTTCATTTTATCTCTGTCTGTCTGTCTGTCTCTCTCTCTCTCTCTATCTATATTTATATATATATATATATGTGTCTTTTTGCATATATGTATATTTCTAAGAGGGTAAGTATTGCATCTGATACCTACTTAACGTTAGCTTCGTATAGGTCACTTATGGGACATTTGGCTGCGAGATAGACGCCTGATGTATGCGCAAAGACTTGGTACTGATTAATCTTATAGATTTTGATGCTAGCCTTCAAATTCTTCGACAAAAAAATCTCTTTCAATTGGCACTGATGATGTTACAATCACCTGTTTTGGCGCAACATTCCCAACATAAGCACTTTCAGGCCCTCCTCCGAGGGAAGTGCGAGTTCAGGGTGCCTCGACCTGTTATTGATGCATGTGTTCATCTGTGATGGTATGAAACACGTGCGCTAAATATGAAGGTCGGAAGTTTGGGGGGGGGAAGGCGTGAGTGGCACCGAAGAGGAGCTGGTGAGCGGGTGATGTCTTTCTTGTCCGTCGACATGGAGGCGGTCCAGTGTTAACCCTTTTACTGATAGGTAAGGAATGTGAAAAGTTGGGAGAGAAGAAATAATGATAAAATTTCAAAGAGAAGAGGTAAGATAAAGTTAAAGAGAAAGAAATAAAAGTGACATTAACAAAGAGAGGAGGTGAATAATTAGAAAAAGGAGAGTGGAGACAGAAGTGGTAGCAATATAGTAAAGCATGCGAAAGATGGAAAGAAAAGGGAGAGAAAGAAAGAGAGGGTGATAAAACGTAATTAAGGAGAGAGATGGAAAAGAAAGGAGAGGAAGAAAAAGTGAGAGTTAGAAGAAATGCGGAATAGCAAGAGAGAAAGAAAGAGAGATACAAAGAGAGACACAAAGAGAAAGAGAGACAGAAAGATAGAGAGATAGATAGAGAGAAAGAGTCAGAGAGTGTGTAGATTATAACTGGATTAACTAATAAAAAGTGGAGAGCAAGTATTTGTGGTGGAAGGATTGTAAATAGTAACCATAAAAAAAGCGGAAAAGCTGGATTAAAAGCTGTGGAGAGAGAGAGAGAGAGAGACGGTGAGAGTGAGAGAAAGAGAGAGAGAGAGGTGGGAAAGAAAGGAGATGACGAAAGTAAAAAAGAGAGGGGGGGAATGATATTGAGAAAGGCACATAAACGAGCGTGTATGTCAGAAAGAGAGAGAAAGAGAGAGAGAGGGAAAGAGAGAAGATGACGATGAAAGTAAGGGAGGAAATGATATTGAGAAAGGCACATAAACAAGTGTGTGTGTCAGAGAGATAGAGAGAGAGCGAGATAGAGGCCAGAGTGAGAGAGAGAGAGAGAGAGAGAGAGAGAGAGAGAAATGGGGAAAGAGAGAAGAAGACGAAATTAAGAAGGAGAGGGAGGAAATGGTATTTGAGAAAGGCGCGTAAATGGATGTGTATGTCAGTGAGATAAAGAGAGAGTCGGGGAGAGTGAGAGACAAAGAACCTGGTATTCCCAAGCTTTCAACCATCTAGGTACTGACCAGACTTGACGTTGCTTAACTTCAGTGGCCGTAAGTCAATAAAGAGAGAGAGAGAGAGAGAGAGAGAGAGAGAGAGAGAGAGAGAACAAGAAGCTTGAAAAACTTCGGATGAAATAATTTCAAAATAGAACAAGAATCAAGAATTTACAAGAGTAATGCAAATATTAATGTAACTCCAAAAACCTCTTAGGGAGTAATCGATATACAAGATACAAACAAAAGGCATTGGTAATTTTGGCATCATCGATTTTATTCAGTTTTCCTGGCGCTATCAAACATTTACAGATGGTTTATTTTCATCATTAAAAATATCTCCCAGTTTCGTCTTTATTTTCATTAAATACGTGTCCATCTCCCTATATTTCTTTGAACTGAATATTACATATTTTCCACGTTTCCTGAACATATTTTTAATCATTTCAATCCAAGCAAGGCAATAAAGCCTTTAAGACACAAGGGGGGGTTCAGTATGTTAGAGAATATGACAAAATAACAACAATAACAACAAGAATTAAAAAGACAAAAGATATCGATTCTTTTTTACAGTGTGGTTTACTATGTACAATGCCCGGGGGCCACTCGACCTAGAGGGTGACATTAAGAGACAGCTTATACGAATAGGAGAGAAAGATGAATTGCCACGTCCTGCCTGTGAGAAAGAGGTTGGGAGGTGGAAATTAATTCGTCACCCAAAAGGACTCGGAGATGCTTCTGAACTCTCTCAAGACAAGAAAGTCAAGACTGTGCTTCTCCCGTCCAAATATGACAACAGTATTCCATACTCGGTCTGGCTCTTGTAAAAGTAGAGGATAGCATGAAGAATAGGGTACTTACTGGAGCAGTACAGCGGGATCGGCCATTTCTCTTGCATCGTTTGATATTTAAAGTTTTAAAGATCAAAGATGACTAGGAAGCAAGAAGCCGGAAGCAAATTCCACAATTGCTAAGTGAAATAAAAAAAAATAGCATAGAACTTCCGGTTATATCTATCAATTTCAAGTGCAAAATGAGGAGACCTTGCCATTAATCTAATACTTCGCTTAAATTCTTTAAGTCTAGGTACCATATAGGAATGTTCATCAGAACAATTACCATAAACGTATTTGTAGAAAACGCACAGGGAAGTTATGTTGCGTCTATGGGAAAGTGCCTAGAGCCGAGATGCGTCTTTGGATTTTATCAAGATTTCTAAATATATAGCAGGAGTGCCAGACCAGATGTGACACAAATAGTACACTTATAAATAAGTAAATTAAATATAGATTTTGGGTCGATACGAATTTAATTGCTTTCTCATTTAATTAGAGTACTTTTTCAATCAAAACTATTGACAGACTCATTACTAATGCATTGAATTTGTTGTTTGTAAAATATCTTCTTTTGCGTTCATATAGTCTTTTATTTAAAATTCTTGAGGTTTCTCTTACGTATTCCTTGTGGCAGTCATTACAGGTGATACAGTAATTTAAGAGAGCATTTTCTGTAAATTGGATGCCATCAAAGTATGTGAACTTGACGGTATCCGAGCAGTATTTTTTAAGAAATGTGCTTCTGAACTGGCTGTTGTTCTCTCAATATCTACAATAATTTAATTGGGGTTTCTTGTATTCCAGTTTGTTGAAGATTCTCTTCTGCTGTTTCTGTTTTTAAGAAACCAAATCATCCATCTAAGCTTTTTAAATATCCGCCTATTAGACTTCTAACTGTTTTTGGCAAAATCAACCTTGAATTAGTTTCATTTTAACTAGCTGGATTTTGTTTCACTTCTTTAAGTCAACTGCTGATGTATTAAAATAATTGCTGGGAATGTAGCTTTAGATAATAATGATGAAGCTTGTGATTTGCTTTGGATATTTAGAATGCATTTGAAAAGGTTTGGCATAGTGCACTTCTTTAGAACTGGAAAAGTTATGGTATTTCTGGAATGGTTATTGAATGGACTCGGTCTTTGTAATCGAATTGCAAAAAGGAAGTTATCTCGAACGTTCTTTTTGCTTGGACCTACATTATTCCTAATTTTCACCAACGACCTTCCTGATGTCATCAGTTTTCAACTCACTAACTATACTAATGACGATACTATTTGATACTGTCTTAATAGCAAGTCTAATCGGGTCAACAAGGTCAAATTTTCAGTTGTTCAAAAATAAGACTAATTCTCTTGTTAACTGGGGCAAGGAATGACTTGTTAATTTGATCGCCTCCAAACTGTAACTGCTCTATATTAATCATCTGAAAGAATCCTTTCTGTCTTCCATCAGTATGGCTGATTCTAACTTCGAAGCAAGTGACTCCTTCCATTTTCACGGTTTAACGTTTTCCTCTGATATGAAGTTGAGAGATTATATTGAATCTACTGCTAAGAAAGTTGGTTCACTTTGTCGGGATAGACAATTTTTCTCGCCTGAAGCTACTAGAGAGAACAACAAAAGAACAGGAAATATGAAGACAGAGGATAACGATTGACATTGCATTTAAATTTTTGAAAATCAAAGTTGACTCGGAAGCAAGAAGACGTAAAAGATTTCCAGAAACAAGAAGTGCAATAGAAGAAATTATTAACATAGAACTTACGGTTGCATCTAGTCATTTCAACTGTAAAATGATGAGATTTTGTCGCCAATCTATTTTTTTAAATTCATAAAGTCTATGTACCAAAGAAGAAAACTCATATGAAAATATTTATAGAAAACGTGCAAGGAAACCGCTTTACGCTGATGGGGGAAAAGACTGAAGTCGAGTTGTCAGGTCAGGACGAATTTTTATTTTATCGAATGGACGAATTGTTGGCATATAAATGTGTAACTAAATACGAAATACTACGAAATGGTTCGAATACATCGGTGTTTGTACCAGTTATAAAAAAAAGCATTAGTGCATCTCGTAAGGAATTTGAACAGAGACAAGGCTGTCTAGTGGCAGTTTTGTTCCACAGCGCATATTGCTAAAGTGGCAAAACATAAACCTAAATAAACGAGTAATTAAACAGCCTGGAGATTTTCCTATAGATTTCATAGCGTCAAAGACGTTTAAACATCTAACTTTCTTACCCGTATACAATTTCTTAGGCTGAAGGCAGGCAAACTGGGCCTTCGATCAGCGGTAGATTTGACCCTTCCAGTATATCTTTCTTTACTTTCATCCAATCGCGGATTAATTGATGAGATACTCGGTGGATCGTCTCAGTGTTTCTCGGGTAGTTCTTTCGAACAAGCTTGCAGCGCCTGGGCCCAAGAATTACTTTCTATTCCATTAGACACATCAAAACAAAAAAGCTGGGATAAAATAAAATGCGAGGCCAATTTTACTAATTTGAGGCTCTCCCTGGCCCAGCATCGCCTCGCCTCGCCTGTCTACTATTTGCTTCACAACCGAGTAGTGGCGCCTGGCTCAACGCAGTGCCCTCTTCATCTACCGGTACCCTTCTAGATGATGAGCGCACTCGGGTAGGTGTCGCGATCCGTCTTGGAATCAAATTATGTGAGCGTCACAGATGCAGATGTTGAGCTTCCATTGATGAGTTTGGTTTGCATCCTCTCTCCTGTCGTCGTAGTGCCGGCCTTTTTCCACGGCATGCAGCAATAAACGACATCATCAGAAGAGGTTTGATGCAGCTGGGTTCCCTTCCCAAATCGAACCCGTAGGCCCCGACCACGGTGATGGAAAGCGGCCGGATGGCATTACCATTTTCCCGTTTTAAAAATGGGAAGTCGTTGATTTGGGATGCGACCTGTGCGGATACATTTTCGGCCGGTCCATGGTCCGCGGTTGGGGTCCGTCGCCTTGGACGCAGAGATAAAAAAAAAATAGTTAAATATTCTTCTCTTGCTGATAGATTTTTTTTTTTACTCCTGTTGCAGAGGAGACTTCTGGGGTTATCGGCCCTCATTCGATGGCGTTCCTTCGGAGGATTGGCGCGATAGCATCTCGATTAAGGGACGAGCCTCGCGAAACGGAGTGGCTCTTACAGCGTGTCTCACTGGCGATGGTTTGAGGTAATGATTTCTCCGTCACTGCGGCTGGCAGAGGAGAGCAAAAAAAATTGTTTATAGTTTCTGGAATTGTCATCAATGGTCAACTGAACTTGCTTTGTTTCAATAAATTGTATTATTTCTCAGATTAATGTTTACCTTTATGGTAATAAAGATTAGACTAGAGAAGTGATGTTAGCTCTCAGCCAATTGTAGTCGGACACAGGAATGCACGCAATTCCCATCAGAACCGATGGAAACCAATTGCACCAAAGTCAGACTTAGCCGCCGAGTGCGGAAGCACGTGACTTTACACCTGCATTTGGTTTGCAGACGTGGAAATAACGTGTTAATGCACGTGGTTGCATAAACAAGGGTAGTCACTAATAGTATCTCACCCATCGTAGATAGAAGGTAGGATCGACCTATTGTTCCCGGTCTGGTGGTATTCGCATTACAGATTGGCCGAGTGTAACCGAAGAATTTCGGAAGGTAATAAAATATGAAGTAATAATAATTCAATTTTCGTGTTAGCTTTTAATCGGCACACGTAATTTATTACAAAACTGATGCCGATACGGATGTGTACATTTTAGTATTACTAAAATCCCTGATACCTAATTTCAAATCATGTGATTTTATTGAATTTTAGGCAAGTAAAAATTGCTTTGAGATTTTTTAATAGTTTGCTGAGAACTATTTTTTAAATAATGTTGAACCTCAGCAGTAAATAATAATATAGCTTCTAAGATTTCGAAATAACTGCAAAAGGCGGCTTAAAATATAGAAGACAAAGTTTTTTTCAGGCTAAAATGTTTTCAGTTCCATCTGAAATAACCATTCACTATTGAAATTACCAAAAATAGATGCTTATAGAATAATTATTTTGAAAAAAATAAGCCTAAACATTGAACATTTGCAAAATTTACTTACAAGAAAATGTATTTTAAGAAATATTTACAGCCGACTAAGATTAAGGTTATCTTTGGATAGAAAGAAAGAGGGTCAGCGTAGAAATAAAAATTATTTAGACATTGAAAGTGAACGAATTCTTGCAGATAATCGTGATTCAATAAAAAGGTATATATTTATCTAATTTTGATATTTATGAATAGTATTAAA